ACGACTCTTTTTTTTTTTCTTTAACTTGGCTCTGATACCATGTTAATGTTGTAAGCAGAGATTTGGAGAAGAAAGAGTTATTAGATTAGGGTCTCATACTCTAGTCTATATATAGTTTCACATTAGGATACAAGCCTGGTCCTACAACCGATGTGGGACTAAACCAAACTACTGATTACATATTATCTCTCAACATTTTCCTTTGCTTTCGGGTCTGAGGCGCACGCCTTGCACGACTCTTTTTTTTTTTCTTTAACTTGGCTCTGATACCATGTTAATGTTGGTACGACTCTTTTTTTTTTTCTTTAACTTGGCTCTGATACCATGTTAATGTTGTAAGCAGAGATTTGGAGAAGAAAGAGTTATTAGATTAGGGTCTCATACTCTAGTCTATATATAGTTTCACATTAGGATACAAGCCTGGTCCTACAACCGATGTGGGACTAAACCAAACTACTGATTACATATTATCTCTCAACATTTTCCTTTGCTTTCGGGTCTGAGGCGCACGCCTTGCGCTTGCGTCAAGCGCTGCGGGGCGCTCCCCAGGCGCGCGCCCGACGAAAGTGAAGCGCCCCGCACCTGCTGCGGGGCGCTAATCCACTGCGCCGAAGCGCTTCGCGCCCGAGGCGCGCGCCTCACTGCGCCCTTAAAAACACTGGGATAAACTAGTTCATCAGTACAATTATATACCCAGATTCACACTATTCAAGTATTTAAAATTATCAATTTGTTGGAAAGAGCTAAAACAAATCTTAATGGACGAGTGTGTGTTCCAGCAAAAAGTATCCGGTCCTCAACAAGATTTGTGAATTTTGGTTTACACATTTTTATAGTAATGTTTAACTTTGAGATGTTCCTGTATAGCTCTCGATACCAGCTATTTCGATGTGCACATTACTACTCTTTATTTCTCATAATACTACAGGCGAAGGCCCTCTTTTTCCTTAAAAAAAATAATAATAGTAACTTGAATGTGCAATCCCTTCAAATAATTTATCTACCTTTTTCTAGGGCTGCACTATATTAAAGGGGTGGCCCAAGGCACGAGCCTCCCACCATTGTGGACTCCAAGGAGAGTTAGATGTAATGTAGCGTTACCTCCGCTTTGCAAAGAGGCTGCACTATATTGGAGTTCTGAAAAAAATTCGACATAGCGACTAACATGATGCAATTAATCACGAGGGAACTTATCCTAGCTTTATATAAGCCAAGACCAGTGTTGTAAATAGCGCCCGATAGCGGCGATAGCGGTTTCGATAGCAGTCACGGCCACATACTGCTAGGCTTTCATGCTAAGTGGTCGACTCTTGTGTGCATTTCAGCTTTTCGCTCGTAATCGCAGCGAAAAGCGCGTAATAGCGGTTAAAAAGCGCTATTAGCGGCAAAAAAGTGTTTTTAAGCGCTATTTTAAAATAACGGGTCTAAGTTGAGGGATCTGAAACCAACCCAAACCCGACCCGAATGCAATTTAAACTCTATTCCAATCTCTTTCTCTCGATCTTGAGTCTTTCCGTCAGCGCCTCATCTCTCCTCTTAAAAAACCCTACTGTTGAAATCCATCTCTTAGAGCTCCTCCTCCGACGATCTCCTCCTTCAGCGGGCTCCTCCTAGCAGCAGCAGTTTCAACAACAGCTGACAACAATCCTCCAGCAACAGTAGCAGGCTAGCAGCCCTCCAGCATGTCCTCTCGAGTCTTCAAAGCTCCAGCAGCAGTAGCAGCCCTCTAACAGCAGCAACCCTCTAACAGCAGCAACCCTCCAGCAACTGCAGCCCTCCAGCGGCAGCCCTCCAGCAACAAATCTTAGCAAATCTCCACCTCGACCACCTCAGCAAATCTCCATTCCGTTTGATCTCTATTGCTTGTTTAGTATCTATTGATTATTATTATCTATCATGACATTATCTTGCTTTGCTTATTTATCTATACTTGAAGATTTTATTTTTTATGCCAAGTTTCTAGTAGTTAGTATAATAATGATGATATTAATCAATGCTTTTTAATTGTTGAGGAAATTTATATTAGAGACTTGAAAGTTGAAGGAATAAGACAAATAATGGTCTTTTTGATAAACATGTACGTTTTTTATTCTTTATAGTAATTTGTTAATATTATGCAATTGTTACACATCTATTTTATGCTTAGAATCTTTATAAATTATCAAATATGCCTTGTAGAATTTTTAGATTTTTTTGTAATTTTTCTTATTTTTTTAGATCATATAAATATATTTATATTTGACCGTTATTTGACTATGCGCTATTTGCCGCTATTTTACCACTATAGGCGCAAATAGCCTTAGCGGTACCTTGTCGTGACGCGACGCAATTCGCTATCAGCAACCTTGGCCAAGACTAATATCAGTACTTGACAAGGAATATCAGCTATATAGTACTATGCAGTGAGTAATGGTAAGGTCATATACATGAAAAGTTTGACAATCGTGCACTTCGTTAACAAACGTTAAACTAAAAACTGACAGTGACACAATCCACAACCAAAGTCAGACATATAGATCAACTAATAATAGAAAGTGCAAGGCTAATCCTTGTGCGAGGCACCCAAAGTGTTTTGACTCTTTTGACTATTCAATAGAGTGCACAAAAAGGTAAGCATGCAACAAAAATGTCCCCACACAGGCAAGAAGCACTCTAACTTGAGGCAACAAACAAATTAATATCAAATCATGTAAATTAAAACAGCTAAGAGGATTTGCTGAGTCTGAAAGCCAAAGGTTTCAAGTTGGACTAACATTTTATTGAGATAATGATTAGTGATGAACTATTTAACCTTCTACAGAAGCAGTGAAAAGATTAAAAAAAACAAGAAGTAATAATCGTATAGTGGGCAAAATGAAGAGGCAAGCAAATAATTTCCTTCATAGAAAAGCCAACAATTACTGACAAGGTAAAGAACACAATATAAGTCCGCAAGGATGTGTTATCATAAGCATTGCTCAACATGATCACCTGTCAGATTGTTTCAAGTTATTCCAACGCAGTAGAAAAAAATAAAAAATATGTGAGTGAAATTACCAGAGCTTTTTCCCAAATAGGACATTTCAGATAAAACATGAAAAGCAAGCCCATGTCGAGCAGCCCAGTGCCCACCATTGTCAAAATAGATAAACATTGGATCCAATACACGGCGCATAGTGGTGCTTTCCTTTGCAAGTTCAGCCAATTTCTGGACACAAATATGTGACCACACTTCTGGTGTTTCACTTTCCTCTCTGCAGCACAATGTATGACAAATGTTATCTACTTACCAAGAACAAGAACAGGCATTAAAATCATGTTCCACAATTTCTACATTTATCTTAGAGAAATTAAGAGCATCTATTGTATAACATCCTCTCTTTGGATGTCAGAAGATCAATACCTCAGTAATTAAACACTGTGCACACCTAAGCTATTAATCCTCTCTTCGGATGTCACAAGATCAATACCTCAGTAATTAAATATTGTGCACACCTAAGCTATTAATTTTCAATTTTCTTTCTAGTTGACAGTTATCACAACAATTATAAGCTAGAACATGGAATATATGATGCACGTGCAAAGGGAAAGAATCAGGCAAAGGCAAGAACTGAGAAAAGTAAACAGAGAGAAGGTCAAAAAGATTAATAGAAATAGAACCATAGGACCTCAATGAACAATCTAAGCATCCGACAACACATTACTTTTGTGTGAATGAGTGCTTCAAATATATGACATCGTAGAATAAGCCCTAGCAGATATGCAATACATATAGCGTAAATGCAATTGTTTTTCTCATTCAATGCAGTCCCTTAGCAGGAGAAAGTCTGTTTGAGGTCAAGATGATTTCCCCTTACATTGGTTTGCAAGAAACTATGATTAAAGGAAACTACAGAATTTGCAACTTGTTAGCATTCCTAAACTAAGGAAATACATGGCCTCTTTAAGAAACACGCAAATCTTGATATATTCGAGAAATTTTGATTAATTACCTTGTTAATTTGGATGCATCCTTGAGATCTGGCCGTGGTATAATGGTAGTAGCACTTGGACTAACATCAATACCGATATTTCCAATAGTTCTTACTTCACTTCTAACTACTTCATCAACCCAATTATGGTGTGTTTCATGTCTTTGGCCACCATCTTCAATATGTTCATCAGTTCCATAATTTTGCAAAGTGGCATGAATTATCTGAAACGTATACAACAACTCAAAAACATAATTACACTTAAATCAAGATTTATATAAAGAACTTTGTAGGGGTAATCAAAAAGTGTATTATTGGAGGGCATGTTCTCATTTCTAATATATTTTGGAGGGCCAAAAATTAGTTTAACAATAGTACTTCTCTCTCCTTTTTGTTCTCTTTCTTTTTTGATTTCTAGAATATTCCATATCATACGAACATTTTTCTCTTCCTTTCTCTCTTTCTCTTTCTATTTTCTGGAACATTCCATACCAAACAATGTCATGCACATAGGATAGGGCCCATACAACTATCTATCCATTATATTTTAGGTTCTTAAAAGAATACAAATATAAATTATACTTCTCTTTCATTAAGAATTGACATGTATAGCAAAAGAAGTAAAAGAATCACCAAGTAACAAAAATACAAGTTTTTTAAAAATTATAAGTTTTGTGCATTAGGGATTATGCACATGCCTTTTATTTCACAACAAAAGAAATAAAACTTAAACAAATGATATAATAGATGAACAAAACCTTATTTTTCCCTAAAGATTAAAGTGATAGCTTCTCAAGTTTTAAGATCTCAAATTATAATTAGATATATTATGTATTTTCGACATAAATAAATTGATATGTTAAAATTAATTTGTCTCTTGCATGTGCATATGAAAAGCAATAATATTAGAGCTAATGGGGCTAGGAGATCTAGAGGTCAAGCTAGAATGACTTGGTTAAAAGCAATTAAGAAGGATATGATTAAGGCTAACTTAACGGAGGAGATGACCCGTAACAGAATGGAATGGAAAAATAGGATTTATGTAGTCGACCCCAAACATTTGGAATAAAGGCTTGGTGGTTGTTGTTGTTGCTGTTGTTATGTGCATATGCACGTGCAACAATTCTAGTCATTTCAAAAGAAGCAACAAACTCATACAGCCAATATCTTTCTTAAAACATTCATTTTCAGCCTTGACAACATGGACAAGAGCAAAACTCGATAAACGGTTATTGTTTACTTTAAGTTGTTATTAAATACATGCTTAATTTTTATTGAGACTTTATCCTACTAAAAGTATGAGACTTAGACATATTGAGAAATTTAGTGATATTTAACGGAGGCGATCAGCTCTAGTTGTAGATCTGAATCTGAAAACTAAAGGAAAACGAGAATAAAAAGAAAAGATATAGATATATTTGGGGTTTCACTGGTTTCACACGTAGTACCTAATAGGATTTAGTTTACACATGTTGTATTCACACCTATTGGCTTCACATCCTTTTTATAGGACTAAAATACAATATTAAGATAACATCAAATCTAACAGCGTAGCAAAATCAACAAAACAACAATTTTAAATAAATAACAAATCCAAGCCCAGTCAAATATCTCAAAAACATATCCTAAAAAAATCCTAACTAATCTAACCTTCTAGATGTCCTACATCAAATCTCCCCCTCTTTAAATCTAATGACCTTGTCGAAAATACTAAGAAGAGATCGCAGGCTTCTATTGTGTCATCATAAAGGCATTTGAATCTTGCTTGGGCTCGGGCATTGCATCAGGTGACAACTCGTGAAGTAGATCCTTTTTTGTCTTTGTATTTTTTAATGATGTGGAACGGAGGTGATCGGCTCTAATTGTAGATTTGAATATAAAGCGCAAAAAAGGAACAAAAAAGAACAGATTAACTAGGGGTTAGGCCATCTTCACAAACAACACTAACTAGATTCAGTTCACACCTGTTGGCATCACTGAGCACATCACATGCCTACTAGAAACAACGGCTTCATGCCTAGAAGGATTCATTCTCATTTCTATAATTTGAATTTCAACTGTTATTCACATCAAATCTCCATCCTCTAAGGGCCTGTTTGTTTGCACGGAAGTAATTGTGAAGTAGCTGAAGTAAAAGAAGTAGAGGCTACTTCTGCTACTTCCGAGCAAAAAAGTATGTTTGGTTCTCTGAAAAACTTACTTCCAATACTTCCCTAAATGCTTACGTGGCGCCTACGTGTCATCCTTACTTTCAAAATATTTTTCCAATCCTCAATACTCAGAAGTAGCTCGGAAGTAGTTGAAATGCATATTAATTATGACATAAATAATTTTTTTATTAATATTTCCTTTATTAGTTACTTCTAACAACTTTTCATTGATAAAATTACTTCCTAATAATATTTCCAAATGTTATTCAAACAAAAAAAATAAATGAAGAGGAAGAAGTTCTACTTCCATTACTTCTAAAAATATATGAAACAAACAAAAAAAATGTTATTTCCACTACTTCCTACTTCATAGCTTTGAAAGTTACTTCTATAACCTATTTCTTACTTCTAATACTTCCATTATCCAAACGGGCCCTAAAAGGAAACGTTGCAATCCATTTTATAAGAATAAAATAAAATCCTATGATAACCTCAAATCTAATAAAGTAACAAAATCAACAAAATAACAAACCTAACTAAACAACAGATTCAATCCTAATCAAATATCTCAAAATCATATCCTAAAAGAAGCCTAACTAATCTGATTTTCTAGATGTCTTACATCACTTAGTCTATCTGAATTAGTGTGTTTTCTCTTTAGCTTTATCTAAATTTATATATGTTTGAACAAATGTTTAAACGTAAAGAGATTAACTTATCCTTAAGCAGTGTGTTTAGTTTGCTAGGAGAAGATAATCATCATGAGTCCAGTAATCCTCCAAACACATCCCCCCCCCCCACACACACACACACACACACACCTTCCCTGTTGTTCTGTTCCGCCACGAGAAACCCAAAAAAAATAAAAATAAAAACAAATAATCTGCATATAAAGGAGGAACCTATGAAATGTGATTTGGAATTTTTGAGACTCAAGAGAGATGGTGATCGCATAAAGAAATCTTATCCCTCTTTGTGCAGACACTAGTCATGGTAACTTGAATATAAGGAATTTGGAGGCTGATTCATCAATTACACATGTAGAAATAATGACCAAAAAGACACATTCTTGTTTATCAAACTAACATCTAGCCATCAAGGATTTCTAACAGGTCCCTCATGTTCTCATTGTTGCCTTCATCTGGTATCCACATAGATGGTTAAAACCAGGGTTACAACCTGCCACCTTGGGCACTTCATTTATGAAGAATTCTCAATTTTACGTTTGAGCTGCATAATAATAGCAAACCCCACTTCGATTGACAAAGAATTAGATGGTCATGATAGATGTGTACCTCATCAAAGTCAGTAAAAATGTGTGAATATTCTGTCATAAACCAAACCTGCAGGAAAGGGGGGAGAATTAAATTTTTAGGTGTTTATACATTACAGGCAATATATACTAAAAGATTGTCGACAAAGATGGACTACCATTGCTGATAAGCATTGCAAGCTTGCAGCCCGCAGTAATCTTTTATGATCCACTCCATTTTCACAAGCTAGTGTGCATACTTTTCGAACCAAACATTCAATGTTGCGTGAATATGTAATGTCTGCCTGTTTCCATATCGCAGAGAATTAGAGAAGAAACAATCAAAATCTGGAGTAAAGATTGCAAAACACTTCAAACACGTTTCCCCTCTAGGATCTAGATACACTTGAAGAAAACAAGGAAATGTAAATTCCAGATAAATGCAGATGTGCAAAGATGTACTAAATTGAATCAGCAAAATTCATGTACCCTGTCCTCACCTGGCTATAGATAAACCTTGTCAAAATCTGGCACCCAAGTATTTGAACAGCTTCATGCTTCTGGTGATTCAAAAGTTCAACAATCACGTCCAAGAGGCTTATAGCAAAATATGCCCTATCCAAAATAACACAATAAATGATAAATAAGAACAGAACTTATTCACACAATGGGTAATATGAGACTTTAAGGACTTGTCACATGCAAACAGACTTTAAATGGACAACTGTAACATATCATTACAACGATTTACTTTTTAACTTCCTGTGAACTTATTCACACATTTCATATTTATTATGCCAGAGAGAATGACTGCTGTGGGGATATATGCATACAACCATATCAGCAAGCCCTGCACAATATCTAACATAGTTCCTCAGTTAAACATATAAATGTCAATGGTGTAGGGGCAAGTGAAATTTAATAGGCTTTAAGAAGCATCATAACATATACCAAACATTGACTTAATTTAAACACTTTACCTGATTTAGAAACAAAACAGAAGAAGTAAAGTTGTTGAGTTTCTACTAAACCAAAAGATCCCAACCCTTAAGAACATGATTAAGAATCTAAAAGAAAACATATCTATCATAGCCATATACTTAACAAAACAGCAAAAATTCGAAACTTACATCTGCTCCTTACAAATACATAACAATTTACTGTATATTGCAGTAATAATTTTGATGAAGTTGACATTCTCCATGCGCAGTTCTTTGAAACTCCTTTGTTCTAGAAACTTTGCAATCTAAATCAAGAAACCAAAGCAATTTAAGTTTTATCAGCACAACTTTGCAATACTTCAAGAAACAGAAGTAGTAGCAAGTTTTATTATTTTGAAAAGAAAGTTCCACATGTAAAAATAAATCTTTTCCACTACCTTTGGGATCCGATGTGGATTTTTTGCAGCATATTCACAAAGCTTGTTGATTTTTCTTTCATTTGGAGAACCATCCTGCATAAAGAATATGAGTGTGTTCAAGCAAAATGAAAACAGATGAAGTAATTTGTATTCTGTTGTGAGCTCATGTAGTCATGCATAACTCAACAATAGTGCTGCCGCATTAATCTTGTGGTTGTTCTTTTCGTGTTGGTAGTTACTTTCTTATTATAATGTAAATTTTGAACAACAATCCATCTCTTTTTGTGTAAACCCATAATCATACGACATATGGCAGTTTTCCAACTGCATAATTAATGTTTCTTGTGTTTCTAGAAAATCTTGTCAAGTAGGTAAAAATAAGATCAATGAAAGAGGAAAGTCTAGCAGTTTTTCAGTTCTAAATGCATGAGGAATAAAAGAGATGCAACAAATACAATTTTGAAAAGATAATGTAACGTCTCAAACATATACTTGTACATATGGATATATTTGCAAATAGATATACATATAAATTTGTCGACTAATCAGCTTGCCAAAGGCGTCAGTAAGCTTCTTTGCCCTCTATCGTTTCCTTGTATCGAAAACAGTTCAACCAAAACCATCCTCCTCTCTCCACGATCCCACATTCGAGACAAACAAAACACATTTGTGATATCATTTAAACCCCGCATCTCCTTCCCCTTCTAAGATCCCCTTACCACTAACTAAAGCCACCTCATATCCTACTCCAAGGCAAACAAGCAATACGAGGCACAGTTTGCAGCGAGAAAAGTACGAAGACCTGCAAATATTCACCGCTTTTCACAATGTCCCTCGAGCAACCAAAAGAAGCTATATCAAGAGCTGGCCCTTTCCAGTCACAACAAATATGAAGTCACAAGATTAAATGGTAACTAACACACTACATAATAAAAGGGGTTACACTACATGTAAGAACAAACCAATTAAATTATTGAAATTCCTGGCATGAAAAGATAATAAGTTGGAAATTTAACATTCAAGCAAGGATTTTGGCTCAAAAATCAGTTCAATGTCAGTAATAAATGCGTTGCAAACAGCGCAAAGAGAAAGCAACCAACCAATACAAGGATGAAACCACTAACAAGTGGTAAAATGAGGAAAAAAAGAAATGGCTTGAAAATACTTACAAGGGTTCGGGGGAAAATCTCAGCCAAGAGCTTCTTGTATCTTTTAACGGGTCTCCGAGAACTCGGCCTCAGCGCAGGGCAACAAACACACATATTGCCACAAGCGGGTAAAATCTTTCTTGAAATGAAACCCATTTCTCACGAAAAAGAAAAAAAAACTCGAACAATAATTCAAGAGAAACCCACCAAAAAATCCAACCTCAAATCATTTCCCCAACCTGCAGAACAGCGAAATGAGAGAGACCCATTAGAGGACATCCAGTGAAAAAAGCTTGCAACTTTGAGATCAAGTGGGAAAACCATTAGGCGTACTCACATAGCAGAGAGTGAAGAAGCTGAAGGAGAGTGGAAATTTTGGGGGAGAAAAGAGGGTCCCATTCGATTTGGGTAAGGGTGAAGCGAGAGACCCACGTGAAAAAAGTCTCATTTTTTCCTCGTTGTGACATGATTTTGTCAGTGCCATCTTTTGTCTTTCTCTCCTCCTTTTTCCTTTTTCCTTCGTTATTAATATTATTTTTTGGACAATCGAGTAACAAGCTTCAACGAATTTTCTATTATCTAGCTGAAAACTGTCTCATTCATCACAAATTCACTCTCTAGTCTCTGGTGATCTCCAATTAGTAGTTCGTTATCGGGTTTGATACCCGTTCCCACTCAATAATCCCCTGCATGAGATTGTAAACTCTAAAATATTTTATAATTTATGATATTGATATGAAATATTGATTTTTTTTAAAAGACAGGTAGGATAACCTAACCAGTCAAATCCTCAACAACACTCTGTCTCAAAAACAAAGGGACAGAAACAGATCAAAAACAATAGGACAAAACAGTCAACCGACTTAGCTAGGGAATAAGCAACACCATTACCAGTGCGCTTTACATAAGAAACTTTGGAGCAGCCAGTAATAGTTAGACCAGCGCGGACTTCATCTGTAATAGGAGCCAATGAAACAAAAGGAGAATGAGAGTCCACCAAGGAGACAACATTTAGAGAGTCCATTTCCACCATTGAAATCCTCTAGTTCATACGCCAAACAAAGTGAATGCCTTCCAGGATAGCCAACAGCTCAGCATGATCCACAGACATAGGACCCATGATCCTCATAGAGTAGCAATCAATCACATGTCTATGGTGATCCCGAATAACACCTCCCAAACCAATAATATCTCATTCCAAAGGAACAGCAGCATCTGTGTTGAGCTTCAGCAAACCAGGAGCATGGAGATACCAAATAGAAGGTCATTTGAAAAGGGTGAGACAATGTCACGGGAGAGACTTCTAACTCTATCCCCTTCCTCCATAAAACAGAGAATCCGAGTCACAAAGACCGAGGCCTCTCTAACACCACCACCATGAGAGATATAAATCACATGGTTGTGAAAGCCAAAACCAGAGAGTCCACAGGGCTAACAAAAGTGAGATGGAAAAGGAAATCATCACAAGACGTGCCTTGAAAACCATTAATCACTTCCCAAAGATCTAAGGACTCCCACACTAAACCAGCAAAGGAGCAGACGGTGAAGATATGAGGGGCAGTCTCAAAGGCAGCAGAGCAAAGGTGGCAACTAGGGGGCACAGAGATCCCCATGCGAGATAAACCAGCTGAGGTGGGGAGAGCATCATAGAACAGACGCCAAAGGAACACTCTAATCTTCGATGGGATCTCTGCATGCCAGATCAAGGACCACCACTTCGTTACCCTAGAATCCGAGGTGGAAGCAGTATCAGGCTAGTGTGGCGAAGAAGTCGGTATCTACTCTTGACTGTGTAGCACCCCTTCTCCTCATAATGCCAAATGAGTCTGTCAGGGACAGGAGAAGGCGATAGTGAGATAAATGGAATGTCCTCCCAAACTACCTACTAAAAAGAGGTAGCAATCAGCTCATGATTCCAAGTACTCAAAGCAGAGATCAGCTCAGTCACCCTTCTAGAAGGATCGATCGGAGAAGTGATTGACCTGAAAGAAAAGGGCATTGGGATCCATGGGTCAACACTGATAGAGACACTCTAGCCATCATCTATCCTCTATCTCAGATCTTGAGCCAGGAGCTCTCTCCCCAGATAATGCTCCGTAATAAATAAGAGCAGCCAGGGTCGACACCAGCTGAAAGGAAGTCTGAGTCCCTAAAATACTTCCCCTTCAAAGTCCTACTAGCCAGAGAAGAAGGGTCCTGAATAATTCTTCATGCTTGCTTAGCCACCAATGCCTGATTAAATATCTGTAGATCTCTAAAGCCTAGACCAACCTCTGACTTTGCACGACACACATTCTACCACCTAACCCTGTGAATCTTTCTCTCATCAAAAGTTGATCCCCACCAGAATCTCATAATGATAGACTTAATCTCCCTGCATAAAAAAATTAGAATACGAAAGATACTCATCACATAGCATGGGATCGCCTGCAAAACAGCTTTCACCATAACCTCTTGCCCCCCAGCTGAGAAAAGAGCCCTCCTCCAAGCTTGGACTCTTTTCCAAACTAAGTCTCTGATTGAAGCAAAAGTCTGACGACGACGTCTTCCAACCATCGAAGGGAGGCCTAAGTACCGATCATGTGACCGGGCCCTATCAAGCCCCAAGATAGAGAAAATAGAGGCCCTAGTATCCTCATCTACACAGGGGCTAAAGATGATGACAGACTTCTGAAAGTTAACTTTCTGACCGGTTGCAGCCTCATATAATAGCAGAGTACTCTGGAAAATCTATGCAGTGGCCTGGGAAGCCTGAATAAAAACTAAAGAGTCATCTGCAAAAAATAAGGGAGAAATCCTTGGCCCCGACCGGGAACAAGATAACCCTCTGATGCACCTATTCTCCTCCTGTCTAATGATCAGTGCCGAGAGAGCTTCCGTGCAGAGAAGAAATAAATATAGAGATAGTGGGCATCCTTGTCGCAGACTACGAGTAGGAGTGACCTGACCCACAATCTGCCCATTGAGGCAGAAAGAGAGTGAGGAAGTAGAGATACAGTCCAAGATGAGATTCCTCCAATGATCTGGAAATCCCATGACCTGAAGGGCCTTGTCAATAAATCCTCATTCTACTCTATCATATGCCTTACTCATATCTAATTTTAGTGTCATATGGTCAGACTGACCCCGTCCCCTTTTTTGCAATGTGTGGAGAAGTTCAAAAGCAACAATGACATTGTCTTGAATTAATCTCCCTGAGACAAAGGCACTCTGAAAAAGCATCCGATCAATCCGCCAAGAATTCGCTTCAGCCTATTAGCAATGGTTTTCGTGACAATATTGTAGACCACATTACATAGACCAATGAGTCTAAAATCTACCACAATCTCAGGTGAATTTTTTTTGGGGATGAGAACCACATTGGTTTTATTCCAAGACCTGAAAGACGAGCCCCTATTTAGAATCTTCAAACATGCAACCGAAATATCTGGGCCAATAACATACCACTAAGACTGAAAAAAGGATGCATGGAATCCATCTGGGTCGGGTGCCTTAGAAGGGCCCATAGATCGAAGAGCACCCCTTACTTCATCACCTGTAAAAGGCTCAGAAATGATCCGGAGGTCATCCATTGAAAGCTTAAAAGAGATAACACCACCCACCTCAACCAAAACCTCCTTTGAAGGAGTGGAAGAAGAAAATAGTTATGAGAAATACTCCTCAATAAGCATTGCAAATTCCCACCTGATCCTCCACCTCAACCAAGTGCCACTAGGATGACGTAGACGGCTAATGAAGTTCTTTCTCCTCCTAGTGGAATGTTTAATATGGAATAATTTGGTGTTACGGTCCCCGTCTCGGAGCCAATCAACCCTAACTCGTTGTCGCCAGAATCTCTCTTCCTTATACTCAAGAACCTCCCTCTCCTTCTCAAGTCTTCAGATCTCAGCCATACTATCCCTCACATCATGAGAATAGTAGAGAGACTAGAGCTTTCGCTGAATAAATGATAATATGTGCCTCCATCTACCAAAACACTCTTTACTTCAACTACTGAGATTTGTAGCACAAGACCCTAGCTTCTAACAAACTGATTCACATAGACCCTGTTGTGTGGAGATCCTAGGCTAAACCCTGCTAATAACATCACTCAAATCATCATCTTTGAGCCAGAAGGCTTCAAAGCAGAAGGGACGACCATGCCTAACTAGAAGGGGGTGATGAGCAGCAAAATATAACATAATAGGACGATGGTCAGAAACAGAGAAATCCAAGTGGTGTACCTCAGTAATAGGAAGTATGTCACGTCAGCCAGAGTCAACTATCATCCTGTCTAATATGAGATGTACCGGTCTAACGATTATTCCAAGTGAAGGTGTGCCCGTAATACCCCAAATCAAGTAGCTCACAATGCAGCAGAACATTCTGGAAATCTAACATTCTCGAAACATGCGCCTGTCTACCACCCAACTTCTCCCTTGGGCTCGTGATGTAAAGTCACCTCCATATAACCATGGCTCAAAGGAAAGACCCCTCAACCATCTCAAAAAATTTTAGGACTGGTATCGTAAGTGTTTCTGAGGATGGCCATAAAACCCGGTGAATCGCCAGTTCATTCCCTCTGAGTCAACAACTGATGCATCAATGCGCTCCGGAGAAAAAGAATGAATAGTCATGACGGGGCATAAATGATGTCCAAAGGTTGCAAGTATACAACCAATCAAGTTATAGTATAAAAAGTTATCAATCCCACGATGAAGGTGTTTATAGGAGAAAATTTAAATCGATTCTTATGTTTTGTGTGTGACAATTAGGAGTGATGGATGTGATTGTGGAGAGATAGAGAGAGTGAGAGTGATTGTGTGTAAAAAATGTGATTAAGAGTGGATATAATAAAGAATAAATGTAATCAACAAGAAAAGAAGGAAATAAAATCAATAAACAAATAAGAGAAAAATCAAAAATTAAAGAAAAAATTAAGAAAGTAAGAGATGGATGATTCAATTAAAGATATGAAGAATCTTGAATTGAATCCACTAGCTAATCTCACTTATAAAATATGAACCATTTTCTTTTTATCACATTCTACTTTAGATTTATTAAGTATAGATTATCAAACCACTCAAGGAAAGTATAACATATCAAATTATCATCTAAGTAAAATTATTACTCATGAAAAGAATAACAACTAAATAGTAATTCTAGAATTCCTTCTACCAATTAGTTCTTTAGTTGAATATCCTAAGCATTAACATTTTAAGCATAAGAGAATCATTACAAATTATAAAGGAAATTAGGCTAGTTTCATACAATTTCTAGATGTTGATTATTCAGTTGGTTCCCTGGATTGAAAATGTTAAGATCACCAGTTACATTCCCAAAGGACAGTTTCATTTGACCAGTTCTACAGTTGATAAGAGCATTAGAAGTGGCTAAGAATGATTATCCTAAGATGACAAGTATATGTCCTTTAGGATTGAAAACATGTTGTGTTTCCAAGACTATAAAATCCACTGGAAAAAATAAAATCCTCAACCT